TTACTATGTTTGTGTATGTCCTTAATGTGTTCCGTTTGCTGTTGCATTGTGGGACGGAGAACTAAGGATAAAACATTTCACTACATTACGTCATAGGTTTTTGTCAAATAAAGAACGGTAAAATTGCAATATGTCTTTATTTCTTCATTTTCAAATGTCGAGCTTTTATTTTGGCTAAAAAGCGCAGGGAGCCTATAATACATTTCTTACCTTACATATTTCTTGTCTTCAAATCGCGTTCTTCTTCTTCTGAGGTAAATCCAATGTAAGCTCGACGAAAAGCAGAGGACTGATGACGTTTGGTGCTTTTTTTTTTAGGTAATGTTCGCGTTCCTTCGTGGGGATTTGCATATCAATCTCTTTTGTGCGCGTGGGCGTGGTCAAATTAAAAATAATGAGCAAGCGTTTGAGAAACTGGACATCCTGTTGGTTTTATACAAATGACTTAAACAGAGAAAATTTGTTTTCGTTTTGAATCAGATCATTTAAAAGTACACATTTAAATGATTATAAAGATATATATCTCATGACTGGGTGAATAGTATTCGCTGAGTTTTGTTTCAGTTTAGAAGACGTGCTCCAAAAAAAAAGTTCACGGTGAGGGAGAGCCAGAAAGCACACCCTGTTTATTTTCTTTATTTTATACAAAAGCACGTTTTATTTCGATTGTAAGTGGACACATAAAAAAGAAGACATTTAACAGTTTATTTTTTCATATTTCTTAAGTCTGTATGACCAAAAATGACGGACTTAAGTCTATTTTGCTGCTATGTGAAAAAAATCGAGCAAAACGCGCCGGCGCATTTGCCGACCCCAGAGGGTTAAAGCGTCTCTTTTTTTAACAACACCTGGTTTATAAGTGCTTCTCCTTACAAGTTTAGGAAGATGGTCGGTGCATTTTGCGTTACAAATGCACGTTTTAACCGACCCAACATGCATTTCTGTTTTGTTTTATTTCCATTAATTTTGCAGCCCTGATCGGCTTCTCTTTTTGTGTGCAATGTGCATCAGACAGTCAGTGAAGAGTCGAATAATCTTACGAAATGTTGTGTTTTTCCACAGATGCCACTTGAAGTCCCCAGTCGAGAGCTGTCCAACAGTGTCCTGTCCCTTCAGCCCGAACCTGAATTCCCACCAGAGCTGCCTCCACCTCGCATGCGCTGCTGTTGAGACTCGCTTCATGCTTTATTTAGAAACCCGACACATCCTTCCCTCCTATAACCCAACACATGCTGTTACAGACTCCCGCCAGCAGGGGTCCATGTCCACCAATGAGCCCATATGTTTGATGAGATGATGGCCTGTCCTTACCAGAGAAGATTAAAGACAAAAGCATTTAATCATCCCTCGCCATAGATTTCACACAAATTATAGACAGTGCAATTAATTATAGTCCATATTTTGGTACTTCTAGATGCCAATAAAGAACATCCGTACCATCACACACACAAAGATGCATTTATTTTTGACGGCCCATACATACACTACCTCATTTCTGGGAAGCACACGATTGCGTTGATCTGACACGTGCCTTTCCTATCGGATACCGCTGCACACACGCCACAAACACGCGTCATATGTGTACAAACGTGTGTCATAACCCATCAACTCCTATTCATGTAGTTTACATCATCACTTACTCTTAGCTGAAACGAGAAACTAGCGTTTATATTGGACGACGGATACTCTACCCTTGTCTTTCACTTCTCTTCACGTTTCAAGCACTCATTCAGTGTCTCTTATGGAAAACGTTCCCGGTCTCAAATTAAGAAGCTCTTTTCCAAATCGATGTGGCATTAAAAGCGAAGTGGATCTACATTTCATGCCTAGTGGAATTAATTTCTTTCGGCTGTGTGTTTGCGAGGTGGCCCATTATTAATCACCAGCATGTTTGGGGTTGAAATTTATTATGTCTTTATGCCTTACGTTCTATCATTGTTACTGTTTTTGAGTTTGGATTTTGTGTTATCCGTTGTGTTTTGCACTACAATTCATTCATAGCTAGTTTACGAACAGCTAAAATGCAGAACGTTAGTGAAGAACCTCTGTACAGAAGACTAACCTTATTATTCCGAGTTTTGTTATTTAGTAGCCCTCTTTCAGTGTCATTTCACTCGAGTAGAATAAAGGAAGGTTATTAATCGGGTGCGTTCATTGTTTTATGCGCCGAACTGATGGCAGAACTGAAATGCTCTCGCTGAAAGGGCTATTTCTCCGTGGAGAGCAGATGGAGAATAAAAAGGGACATTTAAGAGGATCGTTTTGATACTCGGACAGCGTCACTAACTGAAGGACACTTGTTCTCTTCAATTAAAATCACTATGCCTCTGCGTTCCTGGAAAAAAAAACACTGATTTACGTCGAATTGAGTTATTTGCCTGTGTTAGATGAAGGACTAGGAATGATTTAGTTGTGTAATATAACAAAACTTTATAATTGGTGTTTGATTGGAAACACCATTTTAACTGAACTGACACTAGATATGCAGTGCAACTGGTTTTTGGGAATATGATGCCTTTTTCATAGCAACTGTCCTTGAATACAGAGAGGCCTGTGCGCCTGGAACAACAACAAAAAAAACATTTGTTTCTTATTGGGTGATTTTCATGAAATATGTTTGTCATATCTGACCCTAAAATCAAAAGAAGAAAATATTTAGCTTAAAAAATAAATTGCTATATTTGACTATATTTTTGTGACAGTTAAGCACCCCACCCAATTTCCATTATCTTTATGCAAAATGTAACTTTTATTTTTCAATTTGAAGTGAAATATGAACTGTAAATGTTCTGGACACAGTTTTAATGATATTCACTGTACGTCAACTAATAGAAAGATGATGTACACGTGTGTAGTGGAAGTGCGTTTACGTGTGTTTGTAATGCGTCAGAAACCAGTGTTGTACTTAACAACCCAAACCTGGAGTGTGTTTGCTGCTGAGGTGAAACATGGCTTTTTTGTTCTGTATTATTATTATAACAACTTTTTCAAATTTAACTTTTTAACTGTGTGTCCTTTGAAAGTTTATAACCAACCTAAACCTGTGGGTTTTGTGTTAACAACAGTGCTAGAGAGAGTGTAGTACTAACCTCAAAATGTTCATGTTTGCAGGCGTGTGCCATATCGTAACCTTATGAGAAACTCTAATGATCGTTTTCACCAAGTGCTTTTTACTTTCTTTCTCTGCAGGATTGGCAAATTGATCATATATTTTGGATGGTAGTTGAATCTAGAGTCAGATTTACTACTTTTATCATTATTTACAGCAAAACCCCACGGGTAATTTTGACATTTGCGTTCAAGCTCTTTCGAATCTTTCGCCTTTTTTCTTTTTCTTGTTTGTATTCATATTTTATTTTGTTTCTCTGTATGAAGCTTAGTTGGTCTTCCCCAGAGGAACTGACTTCATGTTCTGCAGAAAGACTGTCAATGACGCATCCGTTGTCTTGAAAAAGTGAAACCCAACACGCTCTTAACTTCTCAATTGCCTTTATGAACCTTCCTTTTGTACAGAATAAGTCTTGGTTTAGTCTCTCAGCCAATCGCCGTATCAGTATTTACTACATTACAAAAACAAAAAATTGAAACATCCTCATGACATTGCAAAATAGAAGAGTTCTTTGTACGAATAATACATTGATATTAGTTATTTGAAACAGTTTGGCATGTTTAAGTAGTTTTGTGGTATTTATAACTTGTTGCATTTTTAAACTAATGAAGTGCAAATAAAGATATATATTTATTACATGGATGTGTGTTAGCATTCTGATGCTTTTCCTGCTGTTTATGTAAGCATAAACTTACTTTTGCACAATGTTATTCCATCCATTCTTACAAAACAAAATGTTTTATTGTGTGTTCAGTGTTTGGGGTCTCACTTTTATTTTCAGAGATGCACTGCATCCTTTTCACAATATGATGGCGCTATTGGATAAACAAGTTAATTGAATAACTACTGCAATGTTGCTTTTTAAAAAATAGAAATAAATACAAGTTTTGGTAAATGCTCACTGGGAATTTTAGAAATATGTGTGCAAACTAAAAGGTATAGGCCTATCAGATGATGATACTAATGTGTGTGTGTGTGTGTGTGTGTGTGTGTGTGTGTGTGTGTGTGTGTGTGTGTGTGTGTGTGTGTGTACACAGTACCATGCAAAAGTCTTAGGTCACCACCAACTTTGTTTACGAATGTTTTAATGAACATCCATATTTATTTTTCTGGCTTTTTATTTAAATAACCCTAACAGAAAATACATGAAGTAGCCTACACAAAATGTAAAAATAAAAATCTGAACAATATGGCTTCTTTAAGCACAAATCAGTATTTAGTGTGACCTGGACTTCTTAAAGTTTCTCAAAGAGGAAACTCTGAGAAACTTGGTTTTCTTGGCCTTCCAGTCCGTTTCCATTCCATTTAGGTTTAATAAGAGAGCCAGTTTCCTGCTATTGCTCAAGTGTAAGTGAGCTCACTAAATACTTGCCACTTTAGCCTATATAGAAGCCATTTCTTTCAGATTTTTTCTCTCTTTTTAATATTGCGTACAAATTTCCTGTATTTTTCTGGTTAATTTCCTGTAGCTATTTCAACTCAAATCGCACGTTAATGCAACATCCTCTTTTAAATAAATAATTGCAAGACTATATAAAAAATATATTTTGTAAAAAAAAAAAAAAACTTTCTTTTTCAATAGTTAGAGTTAAAATGGTGCAATATTTGTGGCAATTTGTTTAAAGGCTCACCGGGTTGTATTTATCGGTTTTGGTTTTCATTCAAAATATTATTGTTTTTAATAATATCATATTTTTAAATATTAAAATAGTATTATGCTATTTTATTAACACCTGTATCAAATGATAAAAAAAAGTCTTTCTCTCCCTGTTTTTCTGTAGTAGTAGTAGTAGTGGTGTGGGTGTGTGTGTGTGTGCGCGCGCTGCTCATTGCGTCTCCATGCGTACGCACGCGTGCCTGACCGGTACCGGAGCGCGAGGAGGGGTGTGCCCGGTGCTTGTGTGTGAAAAACAGGCGCATGCGCTCCACGAGACCTGAGACACGGACGGGGAGCGTCAGACCGCAGCGGCTGCAGATTTTCCCGTCAGCCGGGGGGGAGAGGACAGCAGGGAGAGATGATGGGAGGACTGTAATCCCGGGGGAGGGATGGACCATGGACGGACGGATTGATTCAACGCACAGAACCACGGAGATTCTCACTTGACACAACACTATCCACCGTATTCCGCTCGGATGCGCGAGGAACGACACAGAGATGGGAAGTGATTTACGGTTGCGCGTCCATCTGAAGTGATGAGACAGAAGCGCGCGGCTGAATCCTTCTGTCAGGTTGTATAATGGAGAGCCCCAATGGCTCCGACACCAAACCGCAGAGCCATCATCCTCATCCTCAGGTGGAAAAGAAGAGGTTAAACCGCGCACCGTCCCCTGCCAGACCCGTCCTGAAGGATGTCCATTCGCGAACGGCCAAACCGATCGTGCCAAAATCCCCCAAATTCAACAAGCAGCAAACGTCCTCCGCACCGGTGACGCCTCATAGCCGCGTCCCGAGACGCACCGTCCCGGGCGCGAAGGACAAAACCGCATCAGCACCTGCAAAAAGCAACAGCAAACCCTCAGCGACAAAAAAGGCGGTTAAGGTCACTCAGCATGCAGCATCCGAACCGAAACCGGCGTGCAAAGCGGTTGATGCCGCCGCTCCGCAGATCCCCAAGAGCAAGGGGAGGCTCGCCCCGATACGCGTTCCCACCGCACGCGGTGTCTGCCAGACGGACAGCAGCTCGGATTTGTCCGATTGTCCCTCCGAGCCGTTGTCCGACGAGCAGAGACTGGTTCAGGCCGCCAGTAGCGATGCGGAGTCCGGCTCCGGTTCCGGTTCGAGTGAGCAGGTGGTCGGGGTTCGGGTGCGCGCGCTCGCGCTCGGAGCGGGAGGATCTCAGGCTTCATCGGCGCCCGGTGCGCACGGGGACCAATGCAAAGCGGAGAAAGACGCACAATTTAAAACGGAGGGCAAGGAAATGGCCCAGGAGGAAATGCTGAGGGAAATCGAAGACCTTCGATCGGAAAATGACTACCTCAAGGTGAGCCGACACTCTCAAATGTAGGCTACTATGGTACCATGGTATTCTTAGAAGTAACTAATACATTACGTTGGTTTGAATGATATTGCAATGCAAGAGGTCATAATGAGAGTCAATCCTTACCCAAAAAGTACTGTGGTAGTATCATGGGACAGTGGCGGAGCTTTGATATAGGCTACAGAATGATTGAACCATTCAATTACGGTACATGTACAGAATATTTTTAGATTAATGTCTGGTGTTCTTCGGAAGGATTATGGGTTGAGCTGCTGCTGTAAATCCACATGACAGTTTTACACCTTGATTTGTTTTTTCACGTGATGACCCTCTTGATAATCTGGCTCATGTTTTAAATTCATCCTACTCTTTTACACCTCTTAGACTAACAGTACTGCAGCATCATTCGTCCCTGAAAGCATCTAGTGTTTATTCTTTTGACATACATTTAATGCCAGAGTAAAATACTTGAAAGTAACATGGCACAACCATGTTTTTTTTTTTGACATGTACCATGGCAATACCATGCTTTTTATTATTGAAGTACTGTGCATGTCATTGGAGTAGGCTACCATAAGCATGTTACAAAATCCTATACTAGAAGAATTGTGATGGCATTAGTTGGCAGTGCCATTGTACTAAGGTTCTCCAAGATACTAAAAAAATACAATTATAGTAAGTAAAATGTATTTATATAGCACATATCCACACTGCAAAGCTGACCAAAGTGCTGATCAAATTATAATTACATAGCATAAAACAACATAAAGTAATATTCGAAAACACCAGAGAATAAAGATTTGTTTCAAGCCTATATAGACATAAAAACCATGAGTGACAGTGCAAGGCGATACTGTGTGCGTAACCGGTCCTACTCGACCCACTTCGAGAGGGATTCGAACCGGGGTCTCCGGTATGGGAGGCAGACACGCTAACAAGTACGCTAAAGACCATAGCCGCTAGCTTCAGTCGCTAATGCGCCTCCTTAGACCAGGGGAGTGAGGTTTACACACACAGCTCTTACTGCCCTTCCTCTCGACGCAATCTCAGGATTAGATGGACCCAATATTTCCTCTTTCTTTTTCTCTTTTTAAGAAGAGAGAGGACAACAAAATCACCCCCACGATTTTTTTCGCAACAGATTAATTAATACGCATCGGACTCAATGTGCAAGGTTTCTGTGCATGATGAATTTTTAGGATGATGAATACGAAAATACGCATACGTTTTTATTTCGCAATCAGTGTGCGAGCCGGTCTACATCCGTTACACTCACCCCCAAAACATTACTCCCATCCTGATCACGACACCAAATGTAACCGGTCCTACTCGACCCGCTCCGAGTGGAACCGGGGTCTCCGCCGTGGGATGGGGCCACGCTAACAAAGAGGCTAAAGACCACAGCCTCTAGCGTCAGTCGCTAGTGCGCCTCTTGAGGCCAGTGGAGTGAGGTTTACACACAGCTCTCAGTGGCCTTACATGAGGAAAGCAAGATCTAGATCCATAAATCTGTACTTTGACTGATTTTAGGTCACATCAGTCCCCACAGAGCCCAGAAGCATCCAACAGGCATCAGAAAGACCCTCAAACCTCCCGCAGGAAACGCATCACAGTCTTTGCTCTCTGTGTGAAGTGTGATGGGTAGATGAAGGCAGGCCTAATTAGCATAATTCCATAAATGATTGATCTTATTTGTCAGATGCGCCAGGGCTCGGCTGCGGTCACAAACAGGATTTTCGTAAGTTTATCTCTGAAGACGGCATGTTAATCCGCTTTAGTTGCTGTGTGTGTAATTCTGCGTCCCCGCAGGAGCCGCTCGTTCTCACACACGTCCCTCCTGACCCTGAGCCGGCCCGTGTGTTCAGAGCCTCCCTAAAGCAGATGTGCACCCCTCTGCCTCCATCTGTGTGCTGTCTATCTCTCTAGAAGTAAAACTGAAGCATGTATTATGTGCAGCTCCATGTTAGTACTATTGTGTGGCATTAATCATTTAGTCCAGCATAACTCATGTTTGGCAGGAACATCCATACAGCGCATGGCGGGTTGCTGCTGTCACATGACATTGTCCCCAGCATACAGTGAAGGTCATTGTGTTTGGACTGTTTGTCACTGTCTGTCTCTCTTTCGCTGTCTTTCTTCTTTGACTTTGTTTACACTGAATTCGCTGAGGCATTGTGGAGTGTTTACTGGGAAATGAGGCGTCACAAATGACTGTCATTTATTTCAGTTCAGGACGGGGGTTTCACCGATGAATACAGTTTCTTTACCTCCAGTCTTGTTTGTTTTAGTGTCTCTTTCTTTGTTCTAGTAGGGAGGTTGTTCTTGTCCAAAATCAGAACAATTAAATTAAAATGTGTTCACACTTGGCATGTTTAGGTTTGATTAAAACGAACCCTGGTGCGATTGCTCTGTTAGTGCGGTTCATTTGAATAAGTGTGAACACTGTCATCTGAACCCTGGTGACACCAAACACACTGAAGAGACGAGTCTCGATCCGCTTCCAAACTAACTCTGGTGCGGCTCGACTGATATATGAACACAACACGGACCAAAGACATGTAAACAAACCAAAAACAGGAAGAGGAGACCCTAAAAAGGACAGATTGCTCCAGCACAGCTGTTTTTTCTCTTCATAGTCGTGATGTTGCTCATCACAGTTCAGTTCAGGCGTCAGAACCGCGTCTCCTCACAGCAGATCTTGGTGTGTGTGACGGAGGGATCCTGACGCTGTTTTGACTCCTTCACACATTTATAAGCTCTTCACGAGTTCTCAGCTGGTCAGAATACCATCATATGCAGCTACACACACACACACACACACACAGCGAGCGCATTTAGCCCAGAACACAGCATTGATTTGAATGTTCGGTAAGTTACGACACAATACATAATAAAAGCCGACCAATCAGGTTGTGAACGTATCCTTATGCCTTTAGGTTCTGTGTTAAAATTCCCATGTGAATGCTAAGCAGACCCGGACTAATTTTGGCCCAAGCCAATTGATCCGAACTACAAGTGTGAACACACCTTTAGAAACCTGAATGAGGATTCTGATTCTGATTCTGATATAATGAATCTAAATTCTGATCGTCTTCTAATCATGATGTTCGTTCTGATTCTTATTCTCATTCTGATTCTGATTCTGATTCTGATTCTGATTCTCATTCTAATCCTAATCCCGATTCTTGTTTCCTGGTTTTGATTCTCATTCTTTTTCTATCTGCCATTCTCATTCCGGCTCTTAGTCTAATGTTCATTTCAATTCTGATTCTCATTTTGATTTTGATATTAAAAGTAATTTTACAGGATTATAAAAAGAAAGTTATTTGTAAACCCAAGTGCATTTCACATGATTTAGAGTTGTTAACCTGATTCTAATCCTGATTCTCATTCTGATGTTCAATTTGATTCTGATTTTCATTCTAGTTTTGGTTCCAATTCTGATCGTGTTTCTGTTTCTAATCCTGATGTTCATTCTGATTCTGATTCTAATTCTGATTCTCATTTTCATTCTGGTTCTAATCCTAAATCTAATTCTCAATCGGTTTCTAATTTTGATTGCTATTCCAATGTCTTCTGTTCCATCTTATTTGTTTATTGATTCTGCTGTTCATTCTGATACTTATTCTGATTTTAATCCTGCAGAAAATAATTTCAGTCCAAATTCAGTCCATAATCAGATATAATTTAATTACCGGTAAACTCTGAATAAGTATAAATCTGAATTTTATACTGATTCAATCCGGATCCTAATTCTAATCCACATTCCGATTTTCATTCAAAGTTCTGATTCCAATTCGGATTCTCATTCTCTTTTGTTTTCTAATCTCGATTCTCATTCTGCTGTTCATCCTGATTTTCATTCGGACTCTTATCCTGATTTTAATACTACAGCAAATAATTTCAGTGCAAATTCAGTCCATAATCAGATCGATTTTGAGTACAATTCAGAATTTTATACTGATTTCAGCCCTGATTCTGTCTCTAACCCACATTCCGATTTCTAAGTTTGATTCCAATTCCGATTCTCATTCTCTTTCAGTTTCTAATCCCGATTCTCATTCTGCTGTTCATTCTGATTCTAATCCTGATTGTGTTTTCTCCAGGATGAAGTGGACGAGTTGCGAGCAGAGATGGAGGAGATCAGGGACAGTTACCTGGAGGAGGAGGTGTACCAGCTCCAGGATATACGCAGGGAACTGGACCGCTCCAACAAGAACTGCCGGATCCTTCAGTACCGCCTGCGCAAGGCCGAACAGAAGAGTCTGCGTGTTGCACAGACCGGACACGTCGACGGAGAGCTTCTACGTGGAATGGAGCAGGACCTGAAGGTGTTTTTGTCACAGACAATGGAAACATTTTGAATGTGAAAAAAAAAAAAAGTTTTAATATCTGATTTGTGTAAGATAAGTATTGAGCTCTCTAACTTATGTTGCACAGATGAAACCAGGATAATAAAACACGTGTCTTTGCCCACAGGTGGCCAAAGATGTATCTGTGCGTCTGCACAATGAACTGGAGACGGTGGAAGACAAGCGTACGCGAGCGGAAGATGAAAACGAGCTGCTCAGGCAGAAGATCATCGAGGTGGAGATCTCCAAACAGGCCATGCAGAACGAGCTCGAGAGAGCCAAAGAGGTACAATACGCCAGCTCACCGGATCTGAGTCCGTATTAGATTCCTGCGCACTTTTATTGAATTGGATAATGAGGACAAGAAGTATTTTATAAGAGGAGACTCTTTAAAGCATATTTATGTAGTAGTGTAGCTATTGTGCAGCTTTTTATTCATGAATGTAAAACTCAAGTACAGAGAGTGGTTATAACCATGACAGGGATATTCTGAGTTACTTACAGCTTAATTTCTGTGTACAGCCTTTTAGTTTCTGTGTACTACTACATAACATTATAACAAAGCGGGTAATACTGTTAACAATGATAGCCTGAAGTAGCTCAGATTGTTTAATATCACAAATGTAAAGATATTGGTTTTGTTAATGGAGCTCTACACATCTTATTTCGAATATCGTGCATAACATTTTTCCTAAAAAATTACTACCATATTTCACCCATGTGATGTGCTTATACCTCTAAATTTGTGTGATAGTTAGATACATTGGTCACTCTTCGGTCCCATTATTTAATGTTAATAAATGCATTTATTTATTGCTAACTTTAACAATGAGCAATACTTTTGTTTCAATAGTTCATAAAAAATAACGTTAATAATACAACTGTTCATTGTAAGTTCATATCAGCTCAGGTCCATTAAATACCATATAATAACGTTTGATTTCAAGTATGTATTATTAAATGTTGGAATTAACAATAGCTAAGATTAACAAACACTTTAGAATTATTTTTATTGTAAAGTGTTATCTATATACAGTATGAAATGTTTATTTTCATTGCAGCCAACCTCCACTGTAAGTGCAGTACTGTAACTGTGAACACGCTTGTTTTCATCAAGTGACAAATCATTTTCTGTGGTAATCGGCAGCATTATTAGGCTTAAGTTTGAAATAAACCAGAATATTACTTCAAGGCAGCGAAGACAAACCTGGAAATGACCCATAGACTGTAAAATTGCTGTGATGGAAATCTTGCTGTATCACCTTAGTTGAATACAAGGCACTTAAACCCGGATGGCCGGAAGGTTAGGATTCCACCCACGGTTAGTGTACTGTGAATTGCTTTGAACAAGTATGGATGAATACATTTAACTTTGAAGCCTGCTGTCTGTGCATTAATGCATGAGAGGCTGTAGCGGTGCACACTGCTTCTGCTTCTGTAATCAGATACTGAGGAGTTACCCTGGAGTTGCTCAGGTTAATCTTAAACTAATCTGGAAAGGATTAATCACAGGTATGACCATCTGTACATGTAGATGAACTGCAGTATGGAGGAGAGTAACATCAACGTCTGGCCTTTATGCCAGCACCAAAGTTTAAAGTGCCCCTATTATGCTTTATCGGATATTACTGTTCATGTAGTGTAGCTGTTTGTGAATGTAAATGGTATGCAAAGTTTTTGTCTCCCAAAAGAAAGAAGCAGTTCTGAACCGCCTGAAATGAGTTGTCAGTAATTCCAGTCTCACTTCCTGCTCCAGCCTACGTAGGTTTGTAACAAATTTGCATAATGCGAAAATCATCTACTGTACTGTTGCCCCGCCCTCAAACACTGTAGTTGTAGCTGGTGAGTTTGGTTCGTGTTGTTCTTGTTGAGAAGACACTGTTTTTAGCTGCCAAAGCAAATCCACTTTGATGCACTTCCAAAGGATGAGGACTGATGAGATACAGAAAAATCGATACCATCGTTACTGTTCGTAGCACTCTGATACGAACAGTAACGATGGTATCAATTTACTGTTCGTATCAGAGTGCTGAGGAAGATCCAAAGCTGAAATTCAGATTTCGTAATGGGTTTTTGGTTTCTGACATGCACTGAAAGCGGTAGACCAATTACAACAGACCGGGCCATCTAACCAATCAGAGCAGAGTTGACCAATCACAACAGACCGGGCCATCTAACCAATCAGAGCAGAGTTGACCAATCACAACAGACCGGGCTATCTGACCAATCAGAGCAGAGTAGACCAATCACAACAGACCGGGCTATCTGACCAATCAGAGCAGAGTAGACCAATCACAACAGACCGGGCCGTCTGACCAATCAGAGCAAAGTAGACCAATTACAACAGACCGGGCCATCTGACCAATCAGAGCAGAGTTGACCAATCACAACAGACCGGGCTATCTGACCAATCAGAGCAGAGTAGACCAATCACAACAGACTGGGCCGTCTGACCAATCAGAGCAGAGTAGACCAATCACAACAGACTGGGCCATCTGACCAATCAGAGCAGAGTAAACCAATCACAACAGACTGGGCCATCTGACCAATCAGAGCAGAGTAGACCAATCACAACAGACTGGGCCATCTGACCAATCAGAGCAAAGTAGACCAATCACAACAGACTGGGCCATCTGACCAATCAGAGCAGAGTAGACCAATCACAACAGACCGGGCCATCTGATCAATCAGAGCAGAGTAGACCAATCACAACAGACTGGGCCATCTGACCAATCAGAGCAGAGTAGACCAATCACAACAGACTGGGCCATCTGATCAATCAGAGCAGAGTAGACCAGTCACAACAGACCGGGCCATCTGACCAATCAAAGCAGAGTAGACCAATCACAACAGACTGGGCCATCTGACCAATCAGAGCAAAGTAGACCAATCACAACAGACTGGGCCATCTGACCAATCAGAGCAGAGTAGACCAATCACAACAGACTGGGCCATCTGACCAATCAGAGCAGAGTAGACCAATCACAACAGACTGGGCCATCTGACCAATCAGAGCAAAGTAGACCAATCACAACAGACTGGGCCATCTGACCAATCAGAGCAGAGTAGACCAATCACGACAGACCGGGCCATCTGACCAATCAGAGCAGAGTAGACCAATCACAACAGACTGGGCCATCTGACCAATCAGAGCAGAGTAGACCAATCACAACAGACTGGGCCATCTGACCAATCAGAGCAGAGTAGACCAATCACAACAGACTGGGCCATCTGACCAATCAGAGCAAAGTAGACCAATCACAACAGACTGGGCCATCTGATCAATCAGAGCAGAGTAGACCAATCACAACAGACTGGGTCATCTGACCAATCAGAGCAGAGTGGACCAATCACGACAGACTGGGCCATCTGATCAATCAGAGCAGAGTAGACCAATCACAACAGACCGGGCCATCTGATCAATCAGAGCAGAGTAGACCAATCACAACAGACCGGGCTATCTGATCAATCAGAGCAGAGTAGACCAATCACAACAGACTGGGCCATCTGACCAATCAGAGCACAGTAGACCAATCACAACAGACTGGGCCATCTGACCAATCAGAGCAGAGTAGACCAATCACAACAGACCGGGCCATCTGATCAATCAGAGCAGAGTAGACCAATCACAACAGACTGGGCCATCTGACCAATCAGAGCAGAGTAGACCAATCACAACAGACTGGGCCATCTGACCAATCAGAGCACAGTAGACCAATCACAACAGACAGGGCCATCTGATCAATCAGAGCAGAGTAGACCAATCACAACAGACCGGGCCATCTGATCCATCAGAGCAGAGTAGACCAATCACAACAGACTGGGCCATCTGACCAATCAGAGCACAGTAGACCAATCACAACAGACCGGGCCATCTGATCAATCAGAGCAGAGTAGACCAATCACAACAGACTGGGCCATCTGACCAATCACAACAGACTGGGCCATCTGATCAATCAGAGCAGAGTAGACCAATCACAACATACCGGGCCATCTGATCAATCAGAGCAGAGAAGACCAATCACAACAGACCGGGCCATCTGATCAATCAGAGCAGAGTAGACCAATCACGACAGACTGGGCCATCTGACCAATCAGAGCAGAGTAGACCAATCACGACAGACCGGGCCATCTGACCAATCAGAGCAGAGTAGACCAATCACGACAGACTGGGCCATCTGACCAATCAGAGCAGAGTAGACCAATCACAACAGACCGGGCCATCTGATCAATCAGAGCAGAGTAGACCAATCACAACAGACTGGGCCATCTGACCAATCAGAGCAGAGTAGACCAATCACAACAGACTGGGCCATCTGATCAATCAGAGCAGAGTAGACCAATCACAACAGACCGGGCCATCTGATCAATCAGAGCAGAGTAGACCAATCACAACAGACCGGGCCATCTGATCAATCAGAGCAGAGTAGACCAATCACAACAGACCGGGCCATCTGATCAATCAGAGCAGAGTAGACCAATCACAACAGACAGGGCCATCTGACCAATCAGAGCAGAGTAGACCAATCACAACAGACCGGCCCATCTGACCAATCAGAGAAGAGTAGACCAATCACAACAGACCGGGCCATCTGATCAATCAGAGCAGAGTAGACCAATCACAACAGACTGGGCCATCTGATCAATCAGAGCAGAGTAGACCAATCACAACAGACCGGGCCATCTGATCAATCAGAGCAGAGTAGACCAATCACAACAGACCGGGCCATCTGATCAATCAGAGCAGAGTAGACCAATCACAACAGACCGGCCCATCTGATCAATCAGAGAAGAGTAGACCAATCACAACAGACCGGGCCATCTGACCAATCAGAGCAGAGTAGACCAATCACAACAGACCGGCCCATCTGACCAATCAGAGCAGAGTAGACCAATCACAACAGACTGGGCCATCTGACCAATCAGAGCAGAGTAGACCAATCACAACAGACTGGGCCATCTGACCAATCAGAGCAGAGTAGACCAATCACAACAGTCCAGCAAGTCTGACCAATCAGAGCAGAGCTGTCTCTCAGAAAGGAGGGGTTTAGAGAGACTTAATCCTTTTTCTAACCGTTTCTGACACTGTGAGAAAAGAGCTGATGAGAAGATTAAACCGATTTTGACCTTGGATGCATGTAAACCTCTTGTCTGAGACTCCAAAACAAAATTAGGAACTTTAAAATAGCATAATTGGGGCACTTTATAGTTCGGGTTATGGGTTGGTTTAGACCGCTTACTCAAGCATGAGCAATTTTAATATTGATGCTTGATTTTCTGCCATCA